GGCAGTGTGGTGTGGTGTGGTGTCGGTGTGGTGTGGTGTGGTGTGGTTTTGTGGTGGTTCTTAGTGTGGTGTGTGGTGTTGGTGCTGGGTGCTGGTGTGGTGTGGCGATGTGGTTGTGGGTGTTGGTGTTGAGTGTGGTGTGGTGTGGTGTGGTGTGGTGTGGTGTGGTGTGGTGTGGTGTGGCGTTGTGTGGCGTGGCGTAGAATGCTGCGTAGCTGTGATTTGTTGTGTTGTGTTATGTCTACGCCGCGTTACGTCGCGTTGCTTTAGGCTGTGTCTTGCGCTAACGCGCGCACCGCTACCATTCGCCGCCCAAGTCAAATTACTCCACGAATAATATAAAATAAATAATTATACGAATATGATATTAATATTAATAATAAAATAAAAGAACAAACAATCATTAATATTATTTCATCACCGTAACTCGGCAGCCGATCCGGACCTCGTTTCTCGCTACGATGCCGCGTGTCTGCCAGCACCACAGTTTGAGAGCTGCCTCACCCACCAGTGCGAGCAGGAGTACGTCAGGCGGGGCTGTCCGGACCTTACCTACTTCCTCTACCAGTGCCAAGTGACCACGGTAAGTTGCACCCATAGAAATAATATGGGTAGAAATAGTATAGGTGTCTCTATATATTTCTATGGTTGCACCGCAGCTATATTGTCAGCACCGAGGCGTTTTACTACGACTATATGGCATTGAAAAAATATATAGCGAGTTTTTTTTACATGAATTAAGATCAAATGAACACACTCTATCACACACACACGCGCGTACGCACGAACACACGCACGCACCCACGCACACACGCATGCACACACACGCACACATCACATGACGTCATCTGGCAGTGTATCTGGCATCACTGTGATCATCACACGTTATAACACTCTACTTCAGAGGTTGTGATATTTCAAACGGTTTGGTTCATTAATTGCTACATTGTGCTTATAATATTTTACTGTACGTAAACGAACAACACAACCCCACGCACTAGTTATTACTATGTTATTCGTTCTTTAGATGCCGCGAAGGAAATGTAAAAAGGGTAAGAAGCATAGAGGACGAGGAGGACGCCACAGCGGACGTAGTGGTCAGTATAGTATACTGCATTATAGTATAGTATAGTAAAGTATAGTATAGTATAGTATAGTATAGTAAAGTATAGTATAGTATAGTATAGTATAGTATAGTATAGTATAGTATAGTATAGTATAGTATAGTATAGTATAGTATAGTAAAGTATAATATATTAGTATCAGTATAGGTATAAGTATAGTAATAGTATAGTATAGTATATAGTATATGTATAGGCATAGCTAGGCGTAGCGTAGCGTAAGCGTGTAGCGTAGGCGCTATGCATAGCATAGCATAGCATAGCCATAGCATAGCCATAGCATAGCATGCATAGCTATAGCATAGCATAAGCATAGCATAGCCCATAGCATAGCATAGCATAGCATAGCATAGCATAGCAAGCTAGCATAAGGCATAAGTATAGCATATAGCTATAGTATAGTATAGTTAACTATCAGTATAGTTTAGTATAGTATAGCTATAGTATAGTATAGTAGTATAGTATAGTATAATACTGGCATTTAATACTTGTACATATGGAACACGGATAAGCGCTTCTGAGAAAACTACTGCCGATCTAATCAACGTGCGTTGCGGGCCTTTGCTTGCACAACAACTTGTACAGACATAGAGTCCTCGACACGCAAGTTTGAACTCTTTATAATATAGTATATTTAATATTTATTTTCTTACATTAGATCTTATATATTTTTTTGCCGACCTTGTGAAAATATTATAAGAGCTATGTACGATTCTCCAGGAGCGCCGAAGAATATTGTTACTACTGCAGGAACAGCGCAGCGGCCGTTAGAAGAAGGGCCGTAAACGGCCATAAAAGCGACAAGGCAGTGCAAGAGAGGTCCTGGGAAGAGAGACGCCCGACGAGGCAGTCAGATGTGAGAGGTGGAATGGTGGGGAAGCAAGGAGGAGTAGCCACACGATTAAGCCGTCGTCCGGGGTGATAGACGCGGAGTGACGGCAATCACCTCAACAACCACGCACGCATCGCGCCCGCGTCAACCCCAACCGACCTAATCACGACATACACGCGCGCCATACCCCAAACCTTTACCCAGTAACGCACGATAACGTCCTCTAGGTTACCGGATCCCAGTATTGGCGTGCTGCACGTAGCTGTTACCCCGCCATGCCGTGCTGATCCTATGCCTTGTGCTTGTTAGGCTGTTACTAAAGTTAAACTTGTATTTTTTATACGTCACAGTGAACTGTAGACTAATTTGCAATTATCTTGATACACAAGAAAGCTATCAGATAACTGGTGTTACGTACGATTTTTTTCATCAATCATTTCAAGTGCGAGATGTGTTATAATAATTGTAGTTTCGCTTACAGAATAAAATAATAGTTTCATGAATAAAAATAAACAATAATAAAAAATAATATCAATAAGAATAAATGGTGTAATAAATCAGGTGCACCAAAGATATTGCTCTTCATACACTGTCATGATGCAGAACATTTTTGCATTTGTGTATTTGGTAGCTTTTACGAGTATCTTATTGGCAATTGGCAGAGCCTATTGTTATTTGTCGTTTAAAAATTATTGTTCAGCTGTACAAGCTGAAAGAAATGGCAAACCTATAGTCACTTACCAAACAAAGTTGGTGAATTATTCACCACAACTACATCAATCTGACCAGAGTTGGCAAGTATAGGATTCAACCATTTGTTGAAATAAATACTCGCAACAAGTGTTTCCGTTGTGAAAAAAGGTTTAACCCATGCGTCAGCGGTCCAGGCGCTGCCTACCAATAATTTCTGCAAAACCATCCAACACTGCGTTTGCAAATATAAGGGTCTTAACACTGACCACACACAAGCCACATTTGTTCAAAGCTATCGCTGCTGACAAGACAGAGTGTGAGTGTGTGGTGTGGTGTGTGTGTGTGTGATGTGTGTTGTGCTGTGTGTGTGTGTGTGTGTTACGGGTTGTCGTGTGTGGAGTGTGTGCTGTGTGTCGTGTGGGGGATCGTTGTGTGTGTGTGTGCGTGTGTGTGTGTGAGTGTGTGCATGCTGCTTTGTCTTGTTGTGCGTGAGCGTGTGCGTGTGCGTGTGCGTGTTGCTGTGCGTCAGCTGCGTGTGCGTGTGCTGCGTGATGCTGTGTGTGCGTGTTGGCGATGCGCGCGTGTGTACGTGTGTATTTGTTACGTGTTGCATGTCGTGTGTGTGAGTCGTCTGGCACACTAGTGGTGTGTGTGTGTGTGTGTGTGTGTGTGTGTGTGTGTGTGTGCGTGTGCGTGTGCGTTCGCGCGTGCCTGTGCGTGCGCGCGTGCCTGTGCGCGCGTGTGTGTGTGCGCTCACGTGTGTTAGTTTAGGTTTAGGTTTAGGCAGATTAGGTTTAGGTATGGGCAACGTAACTGGCTACAGGACATAGTGAGCCGAAGCTGTTAGCTATGGAGTTAGCGCGGCAATTGGCTGTCACTCAGTATGGACTGAAAAACATTGCATAATATAGTTTGCTAAATGAGAAAGAGAGTTGGGAAACTGAGCAAATGTAGCAGGGAAGAGAGCTGAGGGCGGTATAAAAGAATGAGGCGGAGCGAGAGACAGATGGTGAGGCAAGGGAAGGACAGGAGAGGGTGAATTAGTAGTTTTGCTTCCGACAAGCTAGGGCGCTCTCCCAATCATAAACACAGGTCTACTGATAACAGTGTATTTTATAAAACTATTCTGGGATATCCCCTAATTATTTTAAATGCATATCCATCACAAAATATAACTCCTCTGGTGAGATATTGCGCATGCGCTAACACACTAACGTAGCCAAATTGTGTACTGACTGGTATATGCACCGGGCACCTTGCATATGACGTCTTTTTCCTATTTTTCAAGAGAGGTATATTGATAAAATATTATTATATAAATCTTTGCTAGAATACCTCCTCCCTATTATAAATGCATAATCTTTGGAAAATTGCATTTTTCTCTGGAGATATTGCGCATGCGCGAGCACCGTTTCAGGCGTGCAGTATGGACTGAAGAACACTGCATAATATAGCTTGCTAAGAGAGAAAGAGAGTTGGGAGGCTTAGGAAAGGCTGCAGGGAAGAAAGCTGAGGGCGGTAAAAAAGAATGAGGCTGAGCGAGGGACAGATGGGGAGGCAAATGAAGGTCAGGAGGGGATGAATTAGTAGTTTTGCTCCCCACAGGCTATGGGGGGGGGGACTACTTTCTATTTCTGAAGAAAGATATACTGATGAAATATTATTATATAAATCTATGCTAGAATATCTCCTCCCTATTGTAAATGCATAATTTCTGCTAAATATTCTTCTTCTCGGGAGATATTGCGCATGCGCGATCACCGTTTCAGGCGTGCAGTATGGACCTAAGAACACTGCATAATATAGCTTGCTAAGAGAGAAAGAGAGCTGGGAAACTGAGGAAAGGCAGCAGAGAAGAAAGCTGAGGGCGGTAAAAAAAATGAGGCTGAGCGAGGGACAGAGGGGGAGGCAGATGGATATGCATTTAAACTGGTCAGGGGATATGCTCAGCATAGAATTATAAAATCAATTGTTATCAGTAGACCTGTGTTTATGATTGGGAGAGCGCCCTAGCTTGTGGGAAGCTAAAACTACCTAAATTCATCCCCTCTTTCCTTACCATTTGCTCCCCCTCTGTCGCTTGCTCAGCCTCTTTTTTATATCAGCCCTCAGCTTTCTTCCCTGCCGCCTTTCCTTACAGCTCCCCAAGCCCTCTTCTCTCATAAGCATGCTCAGTTAATTTTAAGTGTTCTTCAGTCGCATAAGCTGCACGCCTAAACGGTGGCTCCGCACTAATGCGTAATATCTCCCAATGAAGAATCAATATTTTTGCAAATATTACGGCATTTCGAATAGGGAGATGGTATTCAAGCATAGATTTATCTGATAATTATTTATCAGTACTACCGCTCTTGGTCAAATCAGGAAGAATGCCTCGCATCGTAAGGGTGCCCGCTGCATATACGCAGTCAGTACACCAATTTGGCTAACGTTAGTGGGTTAGCGCATGCGCAATATCTTACCAGAGGAGTCTATATTTTGTAATGCAAATATGCATTGTAAAACCTGGTTAGGGGATATCTCAAAAATAGATTTATGAAATAAATTGTTATGCAAGTAGACCTGTGTTTATGATATGGGAGAGCGCCTCTAGCGCTGTGGAAGCAAAAACTACTTATTCATCCCCTCCCTGTCCTTTTCCTTGCCTCCCGCCCTCTGTCCCTTGCTCAGCCTCATTTTTTTATACCGCCCTACAGCTTTCTCCCTGCCGCTTTTCTTCAAGTACTCCCAACACTCCTCTTTCGCATAGCATGCTATTTATGCCAGTGTATCTTCAGTCCATACTGCACGCCAAAACGGAGCTCGCGCATGCGCAATCTCTCCCAAGGAATAATAATATTGTTGCAAAATATTATGCATATTCCGAATAGGGAGGAGGTATTCTAACATACAAGATTTAATAATATATATAATATATTTCATCAGTATACCGCTCTTGAAGAAATAGAAAGATGAACCTCGCACATGTAACGGTGCCCGGCCTGCATATACCAGTCAGTGCACAATTTGGCTACGTAGTGTGTTAGCGCATGCGCAATATCTCCCCAGAGGAGTTATATTTTGTGATGCATATGCATTTACAATGGTTTAAGGGATATCTCAGCATAGATTTATAAAATAAAATTGTTATCAAGTAGACTGTGTTATGATTGGGAAGAGCGCTCCTCTAAGCCTGTGGAAGCCAAAACAGTTACTAATTCATGCCCCTCCTGTCTTTCCTTTACCTCCCCCTGCTGTCCCTCGCGCAGCCTCATTTTTTATACCGCCCTCGGCTTTTTTCCTGCACATTTTTCTGCAGTCTCCAACTCATCTTTCTCTCTTAGCAAGCTGTATTGTAGCATGTGTTCTTCTCAGTTCATAACTGCACGCCTGAAACGGCTTGATCGCGCATGGCGCAATGACTTTCCCGAGAAGAAGAATATTTTAAAGCAGAAATTAGTGCATTTACATAGGGAGGAGATATTCCTAGCATAGATTTTGATTAATAATATTTTCAATCAGTATATCTTATTCTTTCAGAAATAGGAAGTAGTCCCCCCCCCGCATAGAGCCTGTGGAACAAAGACCTACTAATTCATCCCCTCTGTCCTTCCTTGCCTCCCCCTCGTGTCCCTCGCGCCGCCTCATTCATGTTATACCCTCTCAGCTTTCTTCTCTTCGCCTTTCTTCAGTCTGCCAACCCTCCATTCTCTTATAGCATGCCTATATTTATCGCATGGTTCTTCAGTCCATTACTGCACGCGCCTGAAAACGGTGCTCGCTGCCATGCGCAATATCTCCTAATGAAGATACATATTTGCAAATATTATGCATTTTGAATAGGGAGGAGTTATTCTAGCATAGATTGTATATTAATAATATAATATATTCATCAGTATACCCGCTCTTAAGAGAAATAGAAAGATAGACCTCGCATGAGTAGGTGCCGCGGCACTATACGCAGTCAGTACACATATTTGGCTACGTTAGTGTGTTAGCGCATGCGCGAATATCTCCCGCAGAGTTATATTTTGTGATGCATTATGCATTAAAATGGTTAAGGGATATCTCAGCATAGATTTATAAATAAATTGTTATCAGATAGACCTGTGTTTGATATTGGGGAGAGCGCCCTAGGCCTGTGGGAAGCAAAACTACTAATTCATCCCCTCCTGTCCTTCCTTACTCCCCATCCTGTCCTCGCGCAAGCCTCATTTTTTTACTACGCCTCCAGCTTTTTTTCCCTGGCCACATTTTCTCAGTCTCCAACTCTCGTCTTCTCTCTTAGCAAGCTGTATATTGAGCGCATGTGTTCTTCAGTTCATACTGCACGCCTGAAACGGTGATCGCGCATTGCGCAATATCTCCCGCAGAAGAAGAATATTTCAGGCAGAAATTATGCATTTACAATAGGAGGAGATATTCTAGCATAGATTTATATAATAATATTTCATCAGTCATATCTTTCTCAGAACATAGAAAGTAGTCCCCCCCATTAGCTGTGGGAGGCAAAACTACTAATTCACCCCTCCTAGACCGTTCGATTCTGTGGGTCTCCCCATCTGTCCCTCGCTTCAGCCTCATTCTTTTTTACGCGCCCTCAGCTTTCTTCCCGTTGCACGCCTTTTCCTAAAGCCTCCCAACTCTCTTTCTCTTTAGCAAGCTATAGTTATCCAGTGTTCTTACAGTCCCATACTGCCACGCCTGAAACGGTGCTCCGCGCATTGCGGCAATATCTCCAGAAGATCAAATTGCAATTTTCCAAAGATTAATGCATTATAGATAGGAGGCAGTATTCTAGCCAAAGACTTTATATAATAATATTTATCAATCATATAACCTCTCTTGAAAATAGGAAAGAAGACGTCATATGCAAGGTGTCCCCGGTGCATATACGGCAGTCAGTACACAATTTGGCTACGCTTAGTTGTGTTAGCGCGCATGCGCCAATATCTCACCAGAGGGAGTTATATTTTGTGATGGATATGCATTTTTAAAATAAATTAGGCGGATAATCCCAGAATAAGTTTTTATAATACACTGTTCTATCAGTAGACCTGT